GGGCCAGGGTATCAGATATCATATGTGATCACATATCAAGGAATTTTAATAGATATTGAGAGTGATAAGATATCAGAGTGGGAGGATTCTCTCTAAACTGAATTAGGAGGATTTTTGCTAACATTGGACTGAGCCGAAAGTCAAGGCCTAGTTGGGAAGAGGGCTCAGAGAAGCCCAACTAAAGTTTGGTCAAAGAGAAAGTCTGTCCATTTTCCAATGACTAAGGGAAGGGAAGAACATGTTGGCATATAGAGTTTGCATTGTTCAAAATAGTAAAGAATACCCCTTATTGTTTACATTTCCATAGAATTGTACTCATCATTTGGGTTTCCATTTTATAATAAAAGCACACTGGGAAGCAGTATGTGCATAAAGTGGCAGAGAGATATCAGTTAAGAGTCGCCAGGGGAGGTAGGATGGTGACTGTTTCAAGATAATAGCTGTGAAGATGGTAAGCAGTGGTCTTATTCTGAATACAGGTTCAAGGTAAAGGTGCAGAGTTTGCTGATGGATAAACCTGACCACCTATCAATAGAAGAATGAAATAATTGGTTTTTGTTTTGTTTTGGTATTTGTTTGCATGTTTTTGAAGATCATGGATATTATAGCAAAAATAGGTTGTTTAGAAGAAGAATAGCAGTTTGACTTTTGACATTTTAACTCAATGCCTTCTAGACTTCCAAGTGTAATAATCAAGCAGGGTCCAAGAATAACAGCATTTTGAATCATTGGTCTGATTACCAGGAATTGAATAAAATAGAGAGTGCTCACTTATTTTCTGTATTGTCCTTTGTCTCTTCTGGTCACTCAAGGTTGGCCTTAAAATCATACTGTAGGGTGATATTATTGCTTGTGGTCTTTTATGCCTCTATGCAAATGACTGCATGGTTCTTCCTTAATAGTGATGTACTTGCCTGTCGACTGCTCATCTCTCTTTCACTGTAAGTTCCTTGAGGAAAAGATCTATAGTACGTAAACGATTCCTAACTGGGAGATTAAATTAAAAAGCCCTTGTATTTATCAAAACTGCCATGATCTTTGTCCCCCAGTCCCTCACCCATCTCATCCCATGCTGCTCTTCACTTTCTTCACTACACTCCATCTGCCTTTATCAATGATTTAAAATTACATTACTTTCTCACCTCCCTCAAGCTTCATGAATTTTTTTAACAATTTCTTCTTTTTCTTTTAGACTTTTTTTTTTCTTAATTTGTCATAGGGCACATGTGCTCACCAGAGAGAGACAGTGAGAGAGAGAAAGAAAGAGAAAGTAAGAAAGCAAGTCATCAGTTAAGGGCTTAAACTGTGGTCAGCTATGTGGAAGTCTAGAGCCTTAACCACTATGCCACCTGCTGGTTTCATGAAATGCCTTTCTCCCTGCGCTATTTGATCTGCTAGTACATTATAATATGTCAGGTCATAGTTTAAATACTAAGCCCTTAGAGAGGTACTTTCATTTTAATTCACCTCCAGTTTGTGTCTTCTAAAATTTGTAAATTAATAGTACTTATGAATAATTTGTAGATTTGTAAGTATGAGTGTTTGTTTGCCATTTGCTTTCTTAGTAGAATCTGTGAGAATGAAAGACCATGTCTGTTTTATTCATTATGTACCCAGCCCTTACCATTGTATCAGACAAAAAGATTTAGAATAAATAAAATTAAAAGCCACATACTTTGTATTATTATAGATGAATAGGAATAATACGACCAATGTAATCTCTTAATTTTTTTGATCACATAAAACTGTAACATCTCTTGATAAAAAGTATTCAACTGTTTTCTCTTACGTGTGGAGAAATAAGAGCTTATGGAATATGAATCAGTCTCCTGCTTGCCCTGCAGCACCTGGTTTTTATAAGAATGTAAACATTTTCCCTTTTGTACAGAAAAAATGTACTTTCCAGATCCGAATCACCCTGGGGAATGTTCCACTTCCCCTCTTCACTCTTTCAGAATGTGAGGTAAAAGACCATACTCAAAATATGTACGCACTTCTGAGAATCCATAGCAGAATGAGCCAATATTTTACAAACTCCAAAACTTAGCAAAAGCAGTATTTTAAGAAACTTTTATAAATATTATACTTATCTGTGTCAGAAAATTATGGGTACAGAGAGCAGGGTATTTTTTTTAATCATTTAAAGTTATAACTCTTCCTTTGTTAACAAATTCAGTATAAATAACTCATAAAAGTATTTGAAGACCTCAAACCAAGAGTAGTTTGACATGTGTTATTTATACTGACCTAATTTTTATAGTTTTAAGTAATTTTTAAATATATGTATATATATATATTTATAAAATTAAATACAATTGTTTTGAAATTTATATGAAAAACTATATCTACTGAAACCTAGAAAAGATAAAATATTCCTCTTTCATAAGTAATAAAAGCTATTTATAAAATTAAGTATTATAAAATTGTCATTCCAGTTAATTATTTGAGCATGAAAATAAGGTGGAACTGTCAACTAAATCAATTTAAATATACTTTATCTCTCCTCTGCAATTGCTAAGAAGTCTTTTCTTTATATGGAAACATTACTGCAATTAGAATTAATTAATCATATAATTAGAAATAATGGACATTTGGAACTGGACTCCGTATTCCTCTGAGATTTCCTCCCGAGGAATTCTCCATGGAGCGGTAACCACAAGAAATTTTCTCACCCATCATTTTATACTTTTTCTGTCTATAACAGTAATTACTAAATTTCATTTTGAGAAGATTTATGAAACTCCTTAGTATATAGAAGAAAACATAAGAAATTTTACAGAACTGTAAACTTTTGAATTACTAGTAGAATTAGCTGAAAATTATAACCTTGTGCTTGGCTGTTGTCATTTCAAATGGCTTTTGAAAAATCTGTTTGTATTAATAAAATATATTCAATAAAAGATTAACCGGCCACTGATTTTAAAATATTTAATATTTTAAATTATTATGTTTAATTATAATACACATACATTTAAAATATACACATTATTTACTCTTCTGACTTTGTAAATATAATCTGAAGATTTCTAAAATTATAGAAAAAAGAAAAAAAAAGCTTTAAAGAATACAGTCACATTTTAAAAGAGTGAAAACTCTGTATTCTATGTAGTCCATATTGTAAAATATAAATAATAAAATGTGTTTATTAATAAAATATACTTGCCTTTCTACAAACATTTTTTTAATTTAATATTTTGAAAGCAGCTGAGATTAAATGTAAGGAAAGGAAATCTCAATGTAACTATTAGGAAAGGTATCTATTGATAGATCAGTCATACAAAAAAAAAAACATTCTCAACATTCATACATTTTCTAACAATAGAAATTGAAGATATTCTGTTGAGCTTTAAAATGTCCTTAGAATTTTTCTTTGTCAGACTACATTTTTGTTTTTTTGAGAGGTTTTTGCTATAGGGTGCGTGCACTCACCAGAAAGACAGAGAAAGACAGAGACAGGAAGCAAGAAATCATCCCCCAGGGGGGGTGGCCAAGCTGCAATCCCTTCCCCTCCATTCTCCTCTTGGGATCTTGGGCACGCACGCACATGCACACGGTGGCAGTTTAAGGCACCAGATCTGGGACTCAAACCATGGTCGACTACATGGGAGTCCAGTGACATAGTCATTATGCCAACTGCTAGCCCCATCAGACTACTTTCTTATAGGCTAGAGAGAATTATCACTAGTAGTTCTCAAGAAACAGTGTACAATTTAGTGAAGAAAGATTTGCTTTCTCAGACTTTTACAAAGCTTTTCAAACCAAATTTTTCTTAATGCATCTACTAATCACATTACTGGCAACAGATGATACTGATCAATCTGCAGGTGACTATACTATCTGCAGCAGTCTCTTGAACGGGTTTCTTACCGCAATTTGGCAGATTGTTCTAACCACCATTTCTACCAACAATTTTCAGTGATATCATAAAGATCAACCACAAATTTATTAGCCTAAGTATACTAGAGAGTTCGTACCTCATAATATGTATCTGTGTGTATGTGTGTATGCCATGATTTTTTGTTTCTATTTTATTGAAATCTTTACTATTTGCTTATTCCATTTTTGTGTATCTAATTTACAATCAAAATTATTACTTCTTTTAAATTATCTTCTTAGGTAAATCTCTTGGCTTTTGGATTTATCATATACAAAGTTTTTCGTCACACCGCAGGGCTGAAACCAGAAGTTAGTTGCTATGAGAACATAAGGTAAATATTTCTTTAAATCCACTTTCTTTAATAATTAAAAGCTTTAGTAACCTAAAGGACATATCATTTTGTAATTGTTGTCTTTTAAATGATTGCTTTACATTTTCTTCTACTATGTTTAAAATACTTATTGGGAAATAGTTTCAATCAATTTAGTAAGACTAAAATAACTGAAGATTAAATCATAAGTGAAGCAATCTTTTCACACATTGTCCTCTTGGAAAGGGAAAAATGATGTCTTAAAGCAAAAGTAGGTATCAATGATCCCAAAAATATTTTTCAAAATGTTTCTCAGAGCCTAGTAACTGTGTTTTTTTGTGTTTTTTTTTTCTTCTTCTTGTGATTCTTAGTTTACATTTTGCCATGAATTTTCCTTCAACCCCTGTCTTTAAAACTGATTTATTGAGACCTTGAAAATGGTTTGTTCAGGAAAAGCTGAAGTGTACTTTAGGGAACATTGGAAACAACTGACTGTTTGTGTTGCTTGGGAACACTCCTGTAGTTGCAGTACCTTGCAGAAGATTTATAGTTAAGATTTACCAAATGTTTGATTGATTATTTTAGTCCTCAACATTCATAGTTCCATGTAGTGTGCTGGTTTTAATAAAGTTGAAAATGACTCATTTTCTGAGGTACACTATTAAACACGTTTGCAGTAAAAAGATTGGACTAAAAATAAATGAGAGAATAATCATTAGTTGCTTCATTTTTCGATGCAATGTTCTTAGTGAACAGGATTGAATATTGTTTTAGAAAAAGTTACAGGCTATCTGTTGAAAATAGATGAAAGTATGTGTATTTTTTTTTCTTTAATTGTTAAGGAATTACTACTGTGGCATGAATTCATTTTTGAGATAACTATATTGCAAAAGTGAAAAAAAATCTAGTTTTATATCTAACACTTTCTACTCTACTAAACCTGAAAGGAAAGGAGAAACCTCCTTTGATGTCACAGACATGAGCTGACCAAAGTCCACATGGTAAACTTTTCAAGGTTTCATAGGGGAAATACTTCCTAACAGGTCTATGTCTTACCTTTGGGAATTACTGTAACATTAGATTTGAAATCAAAGCACACAGTGCAGTATACCACTTAAAAAATGCGTTAAGGAAATTCTTTTAAAAATACTGTATTTTAATAACAGTATCTTGCTTTTGGAAGCACATCGCTGCCATAGTGCAGTAGCATACCCTAAAGGCTGTCCCATGTAACTACCATATCACTTGTCAGTTTCAAAAACATGATTGGCCTTTTTTTTTTTTTTTCCTCTTTTTTTTTTTTTTAATAAAAAGAGATTTTTGTTGTCGGGCATGTGTGCTCTCTGGAGAGGCAGAAAGAGACAGAAAGCAAAAAAGCTTCCACCGCCACTCCCCCCGCTATGGAAGTGTGGCCATGCCACAATCCTGTCTCCTCCATTCTCCTCTTAGGATTTTGGACAGGCACGCACATGCACCTGGCATGAGTTTCAAGATGCCACTTTTGGGACTCAAGCCACAGTGGACCATGTGGGAGTCCAGCACCTTAACCACCATGCCACCTGCTGGCCCCATGATTGGTCTTTTTAAAGGTCTTGGTTAAACCAAAAATTCATTCTTCACAAAATGTGAGGAAATTTGTGGGATATGTTGAATATGTACAGCTTTCCTACCTGAGAGATTTCAAATACGTTGCAGGTCTTGTGCAAGAGGAGCCCTTGCTCTCCTGTTCCTCCTTGGCACCACCTGGATCTTTGGGGTTCTCCATGTGGTGCATGCATCCGTAGTTACAGCTTACCTCTTCACAGTCAGCAATGCCTTCCAGGGGATGTTCATTTTCTTGTTCCTGTGTGTTTTATCTAGAAAGGTAAGCTATTTTTCCATTTTTTGTCAACTCTACAGTATTTTCGTGTTATTAAACTTAGCAAAAAATCCTTGTTTTCATAGATTTATGACTCAGACCTCCATTGCCTAAGTACAGTGGTACATTTTATTAGCAAAATAATCAGAATACCTATCATTCACAGAGAAATATGTTATTGGGGAAAACTTCCTATTAGGAATATAAATATTCCTATTCCTTATATTCAGTTGAGCACATTCTGGAAAATAATCAGAAGGCAATAATACTTTAGAAACCAAATATATATGATTATTATAATTGGAAAATGATGATTTTCATGATTGTGTTTAACATTTCTTCCTTTCTTCTTTTTTTAAGATTCAAGAAGAATATTATAGATTGTTCAAAAATGTTCCTTGTTGTTTTGGATGTTTAAGGTAAACAGAGAGAACAATGGATAATCAGATATTTTTTGTGTAACAGAGTTACACAAAAATTTATAGACGAAGCTGTGGTTGACCAATACATACCATGATCAATTTTTTATAAACTAGTAGATAAACATTTTAAATATTTTTTTCTGTTTACAATAGAGGAATAGTATAAACAATAGAAGGCAAAAAAATATGTATCATATAGCTATAGTATGCTATCCTACATGACAGCTATGTCAAGAAGAGTACTGCAGGTATTTGGAAAGTAATTGGTTTCTCAGGAATGATATCATTGTGCTCAAGAAAAGATTTTTCTTCTAGCACAAGAAATATATGAATATCCTGAAGGAAACCAGTGGCTTGATATTTCTGTGACTCATGTTGCCTTTGAAAACTAGTCCCCTACCACCTTGGTAATGAGCTCCATTATAGAAAGTGAAACAAGAGAATAAAAGTAGAATGACTGTTATCATGATGAGATGTATTTTGAATAAACTTATTTTTTATTAACTAGATGATAAATTGTTGAGATAAAGAATTGAATAAACATGTTACCATTGTGTGAATTGTTCTAAACTTAGATTTCTACTAAAACAACTTTGGTCTCAGTTCACTCTATCTGTTCTCTTTCCTAATATTAAAATAAATAAATAAATAACTCCACAGATGAAACAAATATATGTTTGTAAGTTAACATTAGATTGAGATATCTGCTGTTTCCATACTTATTTCACAAATTATAACTTTAGAAGCCTAACCAGCAAAATATAGATGTGTCAAAATATAATATTTTTGTGTCTGTAAATATAAAAACTGTATAAAGCTAAAGCATCCTGTTCAATAGCAGTACTGAAAATTATCCTAGCTCATTAAATTAGTGTATTCAAATTTTTATCTTTTTTAGTTTTAGAAATTATTGTAGCTCACATGACAATATTCCCTTTTAATTTACTATTTTTAAAAGGGCATTGTATATATGAAAGTATTCATAAAGTGAATTGCTATTTTTTTCTGTTCAGAAAAGTACACATTTAAAAGTGTTATTTATAACAAGGAAATCACTGAGAAGTATAGAACTTTTCACAGTGATCTATTTTCTGACAGTTTTCTACTATCTATTAAAGTGTATCTGCTTATGTGTAGGGCTTTTACCTACTCTCAAATCTTCTCATTAAACTGTAGAAGTAGTGATTTTATTTCGAAAATACATAATTGTTTCACACCTACCTGTAAAAGCGTGCCAATGCACTAAATGTTGTGATTTTAAATTAATTTCTCCAGCTGTTTAAATGAAGTCTATCAAATCTTGCTCTAACAAATAAAGTGTTATCTAAATGAATCAATCCTGCTACTGCTGTGCTGAGTCATTTTCTCAAGGAAAATGAGCTACCTGCCAATAGGTCTTTTGCATTTTTAGAGGATCCTTGGTAACTATTCATTATAACTTCTGATTTCTTACATGGTATGCCTTTGACCCATTATTAAATGGTCATTACAAGATACTGTTACAGGAATGCAATACTGCATACGAAGCTATGTGCCATAGGCAGATTAATGGCCCTTCTAGCATGTCCGTGCCCTCACCTTCAAAACCTGTGAATATGTTTAATTACATGTTGAGGAAAATTAAGGTTGCAGATGGAATTAAAGTTTCTAATCAGTTGAGCTTGGGATGGGGAAATTATCCTGGATTGTCCAGGTAGGCCCTGGACATCCTTCTAAGTGAAAGAGAAGGTTAGCAATTGGAAGAGTGTCTGAGTGAGGCAGCATGACACAGTTGCAAGAACACGTCTGGACTCTCTAAACAGTCTGGCTTTTGCTCTTTGGCACCAGGTATTCCGTACTGGAAGCCTGCTTGGACCGGCCTTCCAAGCTTGTCTCACATATGTCATACAGGTAGGAGGGAAGAGGTGGCCCATTAATCTCCAATTAGTGAACTACAAGAAGCAAAGAAATGAGGCCACCAATATTGCCTTGAGCTTATGCTACACTTCAGTTCTGTTTTTCCAGGAAAGACCTTTGAGAATTTGGAAGGAACTTGCCAGAATAGTAAAATGACACTTCATTTCCCATTTGGCCATAACTCCTCATTCCATGTCCTCCTTCAATAGTGAGTAGGGCAAATATTAGGGTTTGAGGCTCAACCTCCTGAACTTTTATAACTTATCATCAATTCACCAGTACATGTGGGCACTCTTAATCACCGAGTTCTATTCTTCCGACTAGGTCGTTAGCAAATTGTCAATATGGGAGAAGCTTAAAGGCGAAAGTCTTGTGGTGTGTCATGGCATCCTAGGGTTTGCATTTATCATAGATACCATGTGACACCACAGTAGAATAATGTAATTCTTTCCC